CAGCCAATCTTTTTTTTCAGTGTAGAAAGGAAATTCCTTCAAATATTACAATTATCTTTAATTTTGTTTGTAATTAACTCTTTAATCTTTGGAAATGTCTAGCAATTTGAATGCAATTTTGGCTTTTTAAAAGATAGCAGCATTGAAAATCGTTATTCTCTGGCGTAAACTCCACTCATAATAAATAATAATCGCTATAATAATTACATAAGTGGGTCTTATTTAATAAGTATATTGTTTAAAAAAAGTATTATACTTATATATATATAATATTTTAACAAATTAATTTATTATTTATTTTCCATAGTTAGGAAGTTGAATAATATTATAAAAAATGAATAATAAATTATGAAACATTGTATATTGGTAAATTTTGCAGCGGATTGTTATAAAAATGGCTCATTACTAGCCTCATACACACAAGTTTTTGTTGTGTTAAACAAACGTGTTGCTACCGATTCCAATTTTTTATTGCTATTTCTTATGACACATTTTTTAAGCATATATTGCAGGCGTAAAGTAAGTTTTAAAGTAAATTTAAAAATGGACCTTATTTAGTACCTGGGCCTTATTCGACTCAGGTATCTTAGACTAAAAAGTTTTTTGCATTTTTACTAGAACCGTTGGGTAGAATCTAAATATATGTATCTCTCTAATAGATACACGTATAGAAATATGTACATTTTGTGTAACATTACTGAGCCTGTATGTGAGATACATTCGAATTAAAGTGTCCGTATCTGTATCTAGATATAAAATACTGTAGTATCTGAACTATTTTTCAGCAGAGTTGGGAAGCGTTTCTTTTTCCGTTACTTTTTGTAATAAACATGACATTGCAATTTTTCATAACTAAATGTTAAGGTTGTGTCAAGGTTGGAAAAAAATCGACTTTTCCAACCTTAGCACAACCTTAGCGTTTAGTTATAAAATATTGCAATGTCATTATCAATCTGTTTATTACAAAAAGTAACGGAAAAAGTAACGCTTCTCAACTCTGTTGTCCAGATATAATTTCACGTACTTTTGTCTCTAATAGGAAATGTATATTCCTTTTGAAAACCGTTTTTGATCTATTGTTATATTTTATTTACATTACTATTACAGACAATAAAAGTAATTTAAAAGTACCTCACATATATGTATCTGACCATGAGATATACACTGTTAAAAATTTCATGAAATTTAATATATTTTTAATTTACACAATTTGAACTTAATTTCATGACATTACATTAAATTTAATGTATTTATAACTGAAAAGTATGTTTGTCTACATGTACATGAAATTTAATGTATTTTTCATGAAAACTAATGAAATTTAATGTACGTTCCAGAAAATTTATAAGTACGTTAAATTTCATAAATTTAATGTACACGTTCATTACATTTAAATAACTACTGTAACTTAATTCAGTTAAATCATTCATTACTTTTAATTTCGTTCATAACCACGAGCTTCATTTACATGTAAAGGAAGCTCGTGGTCTCGTTTCTAACAGGATACTTTTAAAGTATTTGAGTATCTATATCTATATAAATTTTGATTTGTATATATCTGTATCTGTATCTATCAAGATACATTTTAAAAGTATCTTACTCATCATTGCCTGTATTGTTATAACCACGGTGATGACGATTTTATGTTGCATTGTACAAAGCCAAGTAACAATATCATTCTAATCGTAATTTTCAGTGAAAATGATCAACTTAACCACACAAACTCAGTTCAACTTATTTTTCGAAGACACTAGACTGTGACTTATTCATTTATTATTTCAGATTTTTCGTGTTTTCTTATAAGAAAATTTTCTAGACTTTCAAAATTCGTTTTTAGTTGCTTTTTTATTTTGTGATTTCATTAAATTCATATTACAATTGGATTCGATATTATGGCAGAGCAATTTATTAGAAAAACTAGGAGTACCTACTGTTTACAAAAAAATTACTTTTTTGTAACAAACATGATAAATTTAAAGAAATGAAGAATTGCATCGCTTTTAGAATTAACGATGACAATGTCTCGAGTTTTTAATTATAGTTTTAATTGTAGTTAAAGTAATTGTATTTTCATTTTCCCTTTCTTTATTTTGCATTTGATATAAACAATGAAATTCAATGATAAAAAGAAATAGAGGAAACTCATTTTCTTGAGATGTGTATTTATGTATCTTTATACTATTATTTTTTAATAAAGCTACCAAATTAATAGATATAAAAAAATCCTAATAGATGTCAGGTAGAAATGCGTTGTTTATTTTAAAATTAGAAAGCGCATTACACACAAACTCGACCTAAAATAGATATATGTATCAACTATCTACTTTTGATAATAAATATTCACATCATGGATGAGAGAAGGTTTGTCGCTTTAATTTTTCGAGAATCGTCGTTGAAGCTAAATTATCCTGAGCATGATCAGTTATAACACATTTAATCAAATTTTATTGAAAAATATCAAAGAAACATCATTGTAATCTGCATCGTAAATCAAATCACATTAGTATCTAATCCCTGATTTTGTAAGGAAAATTTTAAGCCTTTATGTTAAAAAACAAGAAATAGGTATTTGCAAATATTGGGATACGTGACAAATCTTTAAAGTAAGAAGAAATTTTTAAATTTTGTTCAGGTTGTAGTTTTTTATATGTAAAAATTACTAAACTCAAAAGACAAAGTGATTTTTCAAAAGTAAAGATTTTAAGCTTTAAAACCCCTTTTTTTAAATTTAAATTTCGTTTATTTTAAACGAAGTCAACTTGAATTTTGAAGTTCGTACCGCTATGAACTTTTGTTCCGACCCGAATTCGTATACCATATACACGTGTATAAAAATTGATTCGCCCTCGAATCTGGGACACCTAATATATTCATATGTCAAGCGTATGTACGTATACGTATGCATTTACATCATCAGAATCACAGGTCACTCCTCGCGCTGTTAAGATATTATGGCATACAATGGCAGAATAATAATAGAGTATATACTGCTCGATGCAAAAACCGATTGCAGGAAACGCATTTCAATTACTTTAATTGCTTTCATTACTCGGCGATTACGCACAAGATCTATTTATCCAATTATATTATTATCCTATTAAACATAATGGTAACATAATCAATGCGCGCTCGCCATGCGTTCTTGAAAATCGACAAATTGATCTATAATCTTAATTAAGTCGTTGATAACGGAAGAAACAAATGATTCCTCATGCGTTAATTGTTCAAATTCTTGCAACTCTTGACTTATAAAAATTGCATTCGAGCTTGATAATGACAATAAAATCATTGAGTCATAATTGAGAGATTAATATTTATAAGTAGTACTCAGATATATAGCACAGAGAATTTAAAAAGAATTAAGTCGTATCATCAATTCTAAATTCATTTTCAGGTACAAAAAGAATTCTCAGAACTCTTCAGAAAAAGAATTCTTTTTGTCTCTGAAACTGAATTCAGAATTAATGACACACGACTGAATCCTTTTTTTACTTTATATCTGGATAGAGTATGTATTAAAAAAGAAACCTCAGTACAATAAAAAAAATATATTAAATTTTAATAAATCGTTGTTTGAATAGTTTCAACTAAATATTTACTAAATGCAAGGATACATTTATTTAGTACAAGAACCATTAATTTGATTTATTATTTCTTTTTATTTTTATAAACTCACATCAAAATATTATTAAAAATTAGATGCTAATTTATTAAGATCCATTTTAAATCGAATAAAGCAATTTTACTTAGGTATTCACTTATCGGTCTAATGTCATTTATTGCAGTTTAGAAATATTCTAATTATTTTTTTAAACATAAATATTTATAATCATAGAAATCTCATGTATTCTAGTTAATCTTGATTATTTTATTTTTAATAATACTAACACTAATATTTGATATGTAAAACAATGTGAGTAAGATGTCTGTTTGGACCTCTGCGATTATTGATGCGTAATATATTTATAAGGCAATAAGATATTCGCAAGTAATTGCACGTAGTTTGTACTTGACTTCCGCATTGAGGAGAATTCAAATACAAAGTCGAATTTACAGTTAACTCTGTTGGAAGTGCATTTCAATTGTTTGCGAATTATATTTTATCGCCTTATATCAAATATATTATATTATTTACGCATCAATAACCATGGAGGTTCAGGTTACTTATATTTGATATTCTTATATTTATTCTTGGAGCAATAAAACTTTTTCT